CACATGAAATGAAATAAGAAATAAAATAGGTCGAATTCCCTATACGGAAATACCGCTAAGTTAGTACGTGATATAAATGGATTATCAACGTCGCCGCGATAAACGGAAGACGGCAGATAAAGAGATCAAAAAAGTTAACAGAATGAAGAAAACAAACGAAGTTAAGCGCCTTTAAGCGACATTTGCAATTTAATAGAATATTTAGGCAGACATTAAAATGCGGTCACAAAATAAGCATTAATACAAAATAGCCAACCTACTACCTGAAATAAACAAATTCAGCACCAAAGCAGGCGATAAATGAGTCGAATGTAGCGTACCTAACAAAGCTGCACCGGTTCTGCCTACGTTCTTAGCAGCCCATATCCTTTCGATGTTAGTCTTGAGTGGTCTTGCTCGTTGTTCACTAAACCTGCCTGAATCAATCATTCGCGACAGCACGTGCTACAACACCATGAGCGCGACGTCGATGGAGTACAACACATCGGCGCCAGACGCTTCCACACTTGCAGCTTCTCTGCATGCAGGAGGGCTTTCTCTTGCATCTGGGCAACTGCCTTCATGATTAGATCGTGCCATGCAAGCTAATCAACCGCCTTCGATTCCCATGACCTGCAATCAACAGTAGAACGTGATAGGCTCACTTTGATCATGACCTAGTAACGAAGCTTCGGTTTCCTCGCATGCCGCTTCCGAACCCTTAGCTGAGCACATAATAGCTACTTCGGTATCCATGTCGAATCTATACGCCACAAATGACAGAACCACCTGAAGTGTCTCAGAAAAGTATGCAGTCCACTGCATATATTCCGCTTCGGCGCAACACTGTCTCGGCAAATCTGTCGCGCTAACCGATGCGCAGAATCGTTCTGAGACACTGTTGATGAATCCGCTCAAGATATCTCACATCTTGCCGTACACCGTCCACATTTCATTGCTGTATAGAAGAACAGACAGCACCATGGATTTGTACACTATCAGCTTTGTGTAACCTGTAAGCTGGTAGTTGTTCCCCATTCAGTACTCAAGCTTCCCGAACGCTACCGCTGTATTCGATACGCGGATATTCAGCTTGCAGTGTAACTGCTGGTCAGTCGAAAGCAAACGTCCAAGTTAGCAGAAGCGCGCGGTTGTTTCCAACAATTCAGCACCAATGTTGATTTGCGGCAACATTGTTGTTTGAATCTCCGGTGAATGCTGAATTTGCCAGACAGTTCTGCTTGTGTTGGTGGTGAGCCAAAATTTAGCCGCTGTTGTAGCCAGAGCACTAGTCATGTAGTGCAACGCATCCGCGCTGTCCGCAAACAGCACACAGTTGTCCGCGAACAGAAAGATACTGATATTTGTCCCACAGACTAGGGACCTCACACAGAAACGACGGATATCCAACAACCCATTTTCAATACGGTGCTCTACACTAACATCGTAAGCAGAAGTAGCATCAAAAGCCCCAAACGTCATGGTAAGAAGCTAAATCTTAAACAGGGCAGGAGCTAAGACACAACCTTGTTTCACACCAGAGACAACTGCAAATTCATCGGAGGTCTGTCCACTCAGTTGGATCCTGGCCCGCATACCAATGTGCACATACTCAACTAAATTTACAAACTTACTCGGACAGCCAAAGTTACCCAACACCTGCCACAATGCCTCGTGGTTCACCGTATCAAATGATTTGTTTAAGTCGAAAAAAGCAGCGAGTATAACGGCTGGTATCGTTCCCTACACTTCCCTTGCAACGGAGGAGCCGCAAACACCATAGAGGTGCTGCTGCGACCCGAACAGAATCCACATTGCTCTTCCATCACGTCCGGTTCTACAACTTGACCGGCGAGGCGGTTGATCAGAATTCAGACAATCATCTTTCACACACAACTCCGTAAATTGATACCACGATACTTCGTAGCACATTGCTTGCTTCCTTTTCCGTTGTACAGAGGCAGCCTTTTAATTCAGGAGGCCCCACTTCCTCAAATCACACACGTTTCAGAAAGTGGTGCAGCGCAGTCAACAATGCTGGTCCGCCGTGTTGCAATACTTCAAGTGGGACCCCGTCGGCACCGACACACTTACCGTTTTGCAGCTGCCATATGCTCTCTGCGTCGCATGCAGTGTTGGCGTGTCCACCAAACTCACCTTCACATCGTGCTTCTTCAGACCCTTCAATATAGGCCAGTCACTCTCTGAACGGTTGTTTAAGAGACAGACAGTGATTTCACTTGACCTGCATTATATCTGCAGTCTGTGTGCAGGTAGCGCCTGAGCTACCATAGATTAGCGTCTTTAGCTGGTCCAACCTCGTTCCGTATACAGCCTTCAAGCAGTGAAATAATTCATTTTGTTGGCGGCGTTCGGCGTAGCGTTCCATCTGCTCTGCCTTATCCGTCAGTCTTGCATTTTGATGCGACGGAGCTCTCGGGTCAGTCGCCGTTAAAGTTTGCAAAACCGACTCTACTTTTGTAACTCACTGGGGTCCTCCTCATGTGCAGCAAATACTACATTCTTCTCAGCCACCAGTGCGTCAATCGTCGAATTGGTGGCGGCAAACTAATCGGGCCGCTTACAGTTTGCGCGCTTGATGATCTTCTCGACAATAGTTACCAACTGGTCGGGAATGTGGTTTCGCAGGTCGGCCACTGAGGCTATGCCTTTCATATCACACAGGCGTGCAACCATCGCCTTTTCCAGCTCAGTAGGCTTTTTCACAGTAAAGAGAGATAGAACGTTACAGTTGCGCCTCTGATTCCCGGCAGGAGTGCAATACATAGAGCGGTTAAGACATACGGTTTTAAGCAGCTTGTCAGATGTGTTTTAAGCAATAAGGTGCACCGGTTTCTATTTGCTTTGGATTTTTCAGATAGCTTCATACTCATAATTTAGAGCACCGTATTGCGACCACGTCTTGCTGCGACGTCTAGTTTATATTTGGAAGACTGAATTCATCAAATAGGAAGTTTTAGTTACGCGATGACACAAGAAACATTAACGGTAGATTTTAAAGTTTAGGATTCTTACAGTGTATCATCAGGAAAATTATAAATGTAGCATAGTAGACTTTCATGAGCCGTACTGGTTGACCTTAATGAACATTCTTAATCATGGAAACCAACTTGTCAATTGACTACGTTGTTATGCCAAGGTGTACGTAGGCGGGACAGCCTATGGTGCGCCGAGGCTGGTGGTGGCTGGATCCTGACAGATGGTCTACCCAATGCTGCTACTGTTGTGCCGTGGGTTCATGTCCTGGACGACTCCTCGTGGCAACCGCTGGGCGGGAGTTGGGTTACTCACTTCTCCTAGCTGAGTCAGGATACCAATCCGCATGAGTCAGTGAAATTACTAACGTCATTTCTAAGCTAAATAATTCGAGGCCATTGCACCGAACAGACGGCATAAACAAAGTAACACAAATATGTGGAATATTACTGAAGCTTGCATACCAAACCCAACAGTATAGTGCCACGGAAGAAAACCAAACCTAAAAATACAATACGAAGCGACACCATATAACTTCAAAGTTACTTTTGGACAACAGCACTGTAACGGATGATATGGCCCAAATATGTGCATCGTTGAATACGTACCTCGCCGCTTTGTTCAATACTGCATTATCTGCATAGTACTTAATCTCAAGAAGAGCGGAATAGCTACAGTTCCATATCCCTTTGAAATTGTGGAACACCTAGATAACTATTACATCCATCTTACTGACATTACAATACGTAGCTGATGACGTCCCTTCTACAACCATAAGGTTTGAGGGTAATAGGTTACCGCATCCCATGCCATATATCTTTACACTGCTATCTTTACACTGGCTACTTACTGCTCAAGTGGAAATATCGCTTACTTATAACGAAACACAAAGGAGGTATACGGGAAATAGGTCGATGTATCTGTCGATAAACCATACATCAACAGCCACTAAATTCATAGAAAGAATCATCAAGTAGAATTATCCACAATTATGATTAACGCTAAATTCAACTAACAACTTAGTCCCGTCGATTGTTAGGGTCCTCGGTAGTCCAGGGGTCTTAACAACGGACAGGTAGCATTCTGGTTGGGGGCTTTATCTCTACAGTGGCCAGGCAGAATGCTTTTTGCTGACGATTCCCAAAAGCTTGACAGCTATACAGTGTCTCCCTGGGCGTGTGATGAATGTCTGACTGCGTCTAGCAATGATAAACCCGTGTCATTAAAATACCATTACTATTCCATCAAACTAGAATAAGTTGAGCTTCTACCGGATATCTGTAGGCCTGTTCCTTTTAACTTACAAACCATTGCATCTGATAAAATTAGCAATTCCTCCTTATGTGTTGCTTAACCGAGTTCGAATGTTCGTGCAGTGTTTACCAACATCTCTCACACATATGAAGCAAACGACTGCATCAGCGCTACAAAAGTTCTAAACTATATGAACGGTGATCTGTTTACCAATAGGAGATAGAAGGAAACTACCTCTTTATTGTAGCTAATCTACATTGTTTGAAATGTTATTGTGAGGAAAATCATAAGCAAAAGCACAACTTTACCTCTTGGTTCAGTAGATGGTTAAGCGAATAGCCGCCAGCTCTGAAAAGAATGCTTTCCAAACCGACTGAAGCTAGATATTAGTTCATGGATTAAGTAGTTTGGGTCTAAGTTTCGGCTCAAATATTTATTGATTAGTTTTAGCTTGAACTAAGCTCTGTCATCCTAGTGGCCAAATTAAATAAAATTTTTGTTTTATTTGGACCGAATGTTTTATTTGGAACCTTGTATTTACCGAAGTACTTTACTAATACTAGTATATCAAGAGCCGTTGACAATTCTTGTAATAAAAAGGCAACTCATTGACTGGTTTAGAAAAGTAGTTTGATTTGCGTAGACACTCAGAACTTCCTGTTTAAGTAATGAATATGCGAGACATGTCAGCGTTTGGTTGAACAGAACGATAATCATGAAATATACTGGATACCTGAAAAGGGTATCTGTGAAACCAGTTAGATATTCAATCACGTGAATATACTCACCGAAAGTCCATTTTGCCCGTGATATCCCGGAGGGCCTTGAACACCCTGCAAAATATATGGTTAAATAGGATTTTATTTTCAGATCTAGATTTGAAAGGTCTGTACCGGAGATTTTGGGCTGGCAATAGTTGAGTGTTAACAAGTAATCGTAAAAACGTTTTTAATAATCCTCACTTAGGCCTCACTAGAGCACCAGCATCAAATTGCGTAGCTAACTGGAACGCTTACCTGTTCACCTTTGAAGCCTTGTCTACCCAGCAAACCAGATGAACCCTTGTCACCCTTGGTTCCGGGCAAGCCTGGTACGCCACGATCTCCAGCAATGCCCCACTCTCCGGTTTGACCAATTGGTCCAGGAGGACCCTGCCAATTAATAGAAATTGCGACTGAGAAAACGGTTATTCACTGTTGTAATGAGGGCAATAATAGAAGAATATATACCCAAGAACTCGTCTACCTCTATGTAATAATGCACGAAAAACCTGTACGACACTAAACAGATTTGTACTACTATAATATGTGTTTGAATTAATACTTCTGTGGAACATTAAACGGAGATGCGACAAAACCATGAACAGTGGACATTAACTCCATAGATCCACAAATTTGTGGGGTCTTTAAGTTAAAGCTGTAGCGCTGCTATATAGCAAAATTTGCAAACAACAAGCTATACTCTAAATTATCGGTCAACTATAAACATGCTTGGAGTAAATATCAAGATGTCTTTTTATTTCTAACACTCAATGAACAAATATGCTCCGACTAAGCACGTACTTCCACTCCTTTTAGTCCGACACATCGGCATTTGTCTGGAGTACATATCCGCTGACATCTAAAGGGATCGTCCAGGTCATATTGCTTTGCAAGCGTAGATGGGACAATTCGGAGGGAACACAAAAAAATAAGTGTATGGCAGGATCATTATTAGATAAAGATTTACAACATAAAGCTGATTTGAAAAGCAGTGTCCATTAGTTGTAGCCAACTTTTTAACAGATTGCAAACATCCGTTAGGTTTTGGTACCTTGAGAAACAGATACTAAGGGATAAGTAATGCTAAGCTATGGAGCGTATTGAATAACACCTTGCAGTTCTCGGAACTGGTGTTGTGACAACGCGGTAGCTGTGCATAACATTGTTAAACGATATTTGTTGAGCTGCATACAGATTGCGCCTTGACTTGCAATAATCACTTCAGCCTTGCAAAATTAAGACTCAAATATTCCATTAACATGATAGATATGGCTTGGCTCCACTCAGTTAGGCCAGTTTGAGCTTACCGCTTTGAAACATTGTCAGGTAATATATAGAAGTCAAGCCCCAACGGAGTTCATATTTGCTTGGTATACAAGCTGATAATCACTTATTTGCCATGATGTTACTGTCTGTCAGCTTCCGCTGTTAACCGTCCGATTCTGTAAGTATGGTTGATTACTCAACCTCGAACTGGTTTCGCACACTTCACTCACTCATTTACGGTGAGTTTTTCACACAGCCACAAAACAGTATATAGGGCAGCTGCCCGACACTAAGGCCTACAATTATGACTACGTTAATAATTTGCAAAAGAGTAAGAATAGTTACCATCATGTCTCCAAATTCTTGAGCTCTGCTTTGATTTAACTGACGCATCCGGGTTGCTTGTTCAATTCGGTGTTTGCTACAGAGTCCGGACAACTGAATTTTAACGTAGTTGATACTGCAACTAACACAAGGTCTCTAAAATATTTTGTTGCATTCGTGGGTCACCTGCAGTTCTTTAACTTAGGGCATTATAAATATCTCCTTGGCCATCAAACTAGCTTTTGCCGTTACTTCTGGTTCGTTAGTTGTACTTGATAGTGGCATGCTAAGCGAGCTTCACTGATTCGGTCAATGGTTTAAGGAGTAGTCCAGTGATTCATACGCTCTACAATGATTGGATGTGACCCTTGGACGCTGAGATTCAATCCAAAAAGAGGTCTGTAAACATATATTTCAGCATCGAGTTTGAGCAACTGCATTTGCGCTCCACGAATGCCTTTATTCTCTCAACCACATAATCTAAACAACACTAGTTGATTTACACTCAATCTTTTGTGCAACAGTGCATTTGGTAATAAGAACTTCACGTGCAGAAACATGTAATAGTTATACCTTAAATACCTTGAGGTACGTAGTATCAACTGACACACTTTTGCGTGAACTTGACCGGAAACATTGGTTTCAGCATGCACTCTATAGTTCCTGTCTTTGCTAGACCGAATTACATACATCGGGCTAATGACGACTGGCTGTAATCCAGAAATGTAAAACATAACTGAACCGGCTAAATAGGTATTTAGTTGCAAACAAATTATTGACATCGGAGCAAAAGCATGCATATATACTTACTGCATGGACATTTGACGGTTGGAACAGAAATACACAGTACGAGAGGAGAAACAATCTGGAAAGAGAATGGGAAAAACTGCTAGCCGAAGTTTCTTGTCCATTGTACAATTTATTTCACTTAATTAGCGTTATTTGTTGAACTTGCATTTACTCTTGGACTGAATGACCACAATAGCCATACGATTATCAAGAAAATTCTAGTTAGTTCGCCCAAACTGCACTTTTGAGCTTAGCGATAAGTTAAATTTACGTAAAATATTCTTTACCATATTTGACAAGATGGGCTTACTTATTATTGTTCTTTTAAACTTTCCATCAAAAATCAGCGGCCTACAGAGAATTAGCGAAGCTTTTAGGGAAAATGATTACACTGACAAATAGCATGAAGCATTTGAGGAAATGCAATCGGAAGCTACCTAGGAGAACTGCTCTTAAGAAATAGCTTTTCATTCAGGGGCGATTCTGCAGCTGATGTGCTATCCGGACGCCTGAAAATGCTGTTGAAGAAACTTTTTCCCTGCACGCTCGCGAATTGTTTGCCACAACAAGGCATTGCAAAATCCTTGGAAGATTGACTGCTCACCTTGACCCATTCATTAATCGTTTGTCAGTACCCGTGCACCTGTATTGCAAGCTACGTGGGTCGCACTAAGAGGCGATAGTCTCAGATTCGTAAATACATCCCGTTGGGGTTTTACAAAGGTGAACTGAGGTCCACAATCAACTTAGTTAGGTCGCACCTCCTTGACCGCGGCCATGCGGCTTCCGAGAATGACTTCAAGGTCATCTACTTACGGCCTTAAAGCGTCTAGCAACGAGTCCGCAAGCAACTCCTGTACAATGCCGAGGGGATTTACATCTACCATCTAAAGCGGCAATTATAAATGCAAAGACTGTTACTTAGTTATCCGGTTCTCATATGACCATATACTTGGGACTACTGAGGTTTGTGTAATCATCCTCCTCTAGTTTACTAGGCTCATTATCTATGGCGCTGTCTTAAGTAATCGATTTTTACCGCTCAAGTAGCTTAGAAGTCAAGTCCAGCCCGATGTGACGCTTTTCTAACATAATCAAGGCTACGTAAACGTTTGGGTTTGATGAATTTGTCGAAAGCACTCTTAAGCACTGAAAAAATTCATGGTCTTGAATCATGTTAATGAAAGTGGAATTTTTGTTAAGTTAATTGAATACCGTTTATGTTCAGAAAACCCACTCTAACATTTGCTTCTAGACAGAGTATCCTTCAGGTTTCGTATCCATGTCCAGTGTAAAGACCACACACTTGGATACTGACTTTTGCAGTCTGTCTAGTTAAGAAAAATTGACGGCTTCCTTCCACGCGTTTTGAAATTAGTAGTAAATATACCATGCATTCAATAGTGCAAAACCAAAGTGGCATTACAATGGGGTGCGAAAATACTTCATTTGGCAATAATCTTCGGAATTCTAATTGAATGCCCATGGGGATGTAAGAAAACGTGATAGCATAGAGATCTTTTATGGCAAGTTCCATCAGGCATACAGGGATAAATGAGATAAGCTCTGTCTAATGAATGCTGAATCAAAAGTCGTTGGGAGTCCAAACTGGCTCACCTTGTTCAAGCGAAGTTAGTGGGAACCTGTGTGGTCCATAGAAGCTGGCCTAACATGACCCACTTGACAGCTTACTGACATCATGAAACAAATTGGGTCAGCCGAGAAATGAAGCCACACTCGATCGCCGTCATCAGCATTCCATGTCAATGCATCCTAGTTACGGCCACTGTAAAGTGAGAGATTGCAAGGACACCCTTGCTTACAAAGTTCTGGTTGAGCTAACTTGATCGTTCTCACCGGCGGCCTTTAGTAGACATTTTCTAAGCCACTTATGACATCACTTCGGCACATCATAGAAAACGTTGAAAGCATTGTTCATCCGAATTTCGTGCCTACTTTGAAGTAGAAGTTCAACGATGGAACTCCTTATGATAACACCCTTCCCAGAGATCCGGGACATTGTTCACATGTCCGTGTCGACATACATCTAGTGATAAGTCATAGGTGCTTAGCTGCACAGATGGAACTAAAGTGATATCCCACTCACGATTCAAACTTGCCCGGTACCCTATCTTTAATGCGATGAGAAAAAAAGGAAGTGCTCTCCGCAACAACCTGTGGATCGGCAATAGGATAGTTTCAATATCTCGTAATATGCTTGGAAGCGACTGGGATTTCATGATTTCAGAGGGTTTGAATACAAATCGGAACAGCATTTAGCAGCAGGGTCCTACGAAGCAGTTGAGAAAAAAATCCGTATCGTCCATAATGAAGAAGTCTAAAACTGAGGTAGGAAACTACCTGAGAAGTGTGAAGGACAACCTAGGGCCGGGTAAATGGTATAGCGTATATCCGAAATCGACGATTCCACCTAGGATCTATGGGCTACCGAAAATCCATAAGCCCAAAGTTCCGTTCGGCGCATTGCAGATGGTATTGGTTCTCCAACGCACCAACTAGCCCGATATTTGGCAGGTTTGTTGCGACCTCTAACAGGGAGAACAAATACGTTCGTACGGAACTCTTATGAGTTCGCGCGAAAGGTAGCAGATCTGGCCATCGCGCCAGACGAAATGATGGTTAGATTCGACATTAGCTCCCTATTCACTAACGTGCCCAAGGATGACGCATTGGGTATAACACAGCGTTGTCTTACTGAGGAAAACAACCTGGAGCAGCGAACGAAACTCAAGGTAGATCAGATAATCGATGGAATTAAAGTATGCGTTAATACGTCATATTTCTCTTTTAAGTCGAGAATGTACTCTCAGGAACAGGGACTTGCCATGGGGCCACTAATATCTCCCGTATTTGCAAATCTGGATATGGAAGACTTTGAGAGAAGGGCGCTGACAAACTCCAGTAGTTCGCCAAAGATTTGGTGGCGCTACGCGGATGATACGTTTGTGATTATTAAGCGGGATTATTATTATTATCATGGCTATGATGATTATGATTATAAGCGAGATATGAAGCATGCGTTTCTAAATCACCTGAACTCCATTAATTGAAATATAAACTTTACTATGGAACTAGAATCTTGTAGTGGCACACTGCCATTCCACGATTGCCTAGTTTGCAGGAATGGTGGACGGCTAAAGACGACGATATATCGCAAGCCGACAGATACGGATGGAGTGCTTTGTTGCAGTTCTGGTTATCTAAAACAAGTCTATGCCGCTATCGCATCCTCTATGTTTCACAGAGACCAGACTCGGTGTACAGTGGAGGAGGACAGGAATGTCGCTCGTAAGGAGACAGTGAGCAAATTAGTAGACAGTGGATATCGGAGGCAGTTAGTGAAACGCCAATTGCAGAGAGGTCTAAATCCACCTCCGCAACGCAAAACTGAGTGGATTGGGACAATGGGAATCCCCTATAAAAAGGGAAGCTCAGAAGCAATCAGACGAATACTAAACAATGAGAAAATAAGAGTGGTTTTTCGAAAGGGTCAACCGCTCTATTCAGCACTTGTGGGTTTGAAAGATCCATTTCCAAGAGACAGAACGACAAATTGCGTTCATAAAATCAATTGCAAAGACCGTGAACACGTGTATATAGGTCAAACAGCGAGAGAGCTACGCACGAGGATAGTAGAACACAAGAGGTACGTTTCGCGTCCACTGAGAAATGAGCCTGAATACAGGGCCATACTAAAAGATTCAGCGGTGGCCGTACATGCGCTAGAGGCAGGACACGCGATTGATTGGGACAATGTCAAGATACTTAGGAGGGGATTACCAGCGACAGGCCAAAGGTTGATTGCTGAGGAGATCGAGATTACTAAGACTAATAACTGTGTGAACAGAACAGACGTGGTGGAGTTATCGAACTCGTGGCGGGATGTGTTAACCCGATCAGTCAGATAAGGTGTCGGCGGAAGAACACAGGTCGGAGCGTGGATCAGCCGCTGAATGAAAGGAGTGCCTCATATGTGAACGACCGGCGACGTGGATCAGTGAGAAACGCTCGATGTTTGTTGTTTCACTAGCGTGGCCACTTGACCTATTGACATGTAACACTATTATCCAATGGTTCATGTTATGTCTTGCAACCTTCAGCTTACGTTCCCATAAAAAGCTAAGCTAAGTTTGTAACGATTCACCTGACATGAAGAAGCTCTTGTGTCAAAGGCGAAACGTTGCCACAATATAACCCTACCAAAACCGATTTGTATTCAAACCTTCTGCAATAGGATAGTTTCAGTTCAGAGCGAGGGAAAACCTGCTATCCTGCAGATCGAACTTGTTGCCGCTCTTAAAGGCAACTGTGAGACATCCCTTTTTTCTGATTATGATAATAGGCTTACTGTTTTTTACGAATTACAGCTTATTTGTTGATAATTGAAGCAGGATAACCGTTTTAAGGCGGCGGTTCAAATATGCATTCTCTCTCGTCTTCCAGCGTCTCTGGGCTGCAGAATTTGGAATCTCGGGAATCATTTAGTGAAGAAAGTTACCCTTACAACTCAGAGGCACGAAACGCAGAAAGTGCGTGTACTATCGCACCCTTGAACCTTCTGGGAAGACGATGCTCTCAAGAGAATTATCTTCCAGCGTTCTCAATAGCTCGTTCAAGGACTCCAGCTCCCATACTGTTTCGATTATTTTGGCGTGCCTAATTGATACGTGCGCACCGTTGAGCTGACTGAGTAAACTGACAACATGTGCACTCGAATCACAGGTAACAAACGTGTACCTGCAGCAGAAATCCAGCGAAGAAATAATAGGTTGGATAGGACAACATTCGTGCTTAACGAGGGAGACGTAGGTGAGACGAGGTCTTATGGGTGATCCCAAAACAACTCCATCAATCTGCCGATGATAGATTACATCAAATAGGAACTGCCTGTTAAAGGTTTATTGCAAATTTAGTTCCTTTAGTATTGAGATCAGGATGCCAACATTTATTTCCTTTTTGGCTGCGTCCAAAAACAAATTTGAAGGTGTCCAATAACAGAACATCTGTAGGATGAGATTCTCATAGAAGGAGGGCATCACTTACGGTTTGTCTTCA